CGTTGGTGACCCACCTGCCCAGGGTGAGCCACGGGCCTGGGAATCCCAGCTGGCCCTGCGGCCGGTGCTGACCAACCGGACACAGCGGAGGGGTCACCGCGCCAGGCGTGGGCCCGGGACACGGACAGGCATTAGTCCGCAGGCGCCCACATTCACAGCAGGACACGGGGGGAAATGGCCCAGGTGCGTGTCCATCGGCGGCGAGCGGATCAACGGGGTGTGGACTCCAGCTACACGAAGGAAGATGATGCAGCCCTGCAGAGAAGGGACATCCTATCTCACGGGGGAACCTTGAGGGCTCCAGACGGAGGGAAAGGAACCAGACACGAGGGAACAGACGCTGTGGACTCCCTTACGGGCCGGACCCGGAGGAGTCACTGACAGAGGCAGAGGGTGGGTGGTGGGTGCGGGTGGGGAGGGCCCGGCGTTGGTGTTTTGTGGGGACGGAGTTCCCGTTTTACAAGATAAAAACAGAGTTCTGGGGACGGGCGGTGGTGGCGGTTGCACAGGTGAAGGTACCTAACACCGCTGAACTGTGCCTTTAAAAGTGGCGACGGGTGCCTGTTACGTTATGTGTATTTTGCGACGATAAAACATTTCATTTTAAAAGGTCGGTGCTCAACCACTGAGCCGCACCAGCCGGGCCCAAAAAAAAGTCGGGGGGAGGCGGGGAGGATACGGATGTTCCTGTGTGTTTCTCTGGGGGAAGCAGCTGCCAGGTGAGAAGTCCAACCCCCTGGAGGTCAGCCAGCGGCCAGAAGCCCGCGGGGAGAGGGGACGCGGAGGGGGACCCACAGCCCCAGCGGACACAGCCCAGCCCACCCCGGCGTGCCGGCCACAGGAGGGGGGACACCTGGCAATGCATGTTCCCCCCGCAGGGGAGCAGCGAGCTGTCCCAAGCCCTGCCCAAGCCGCCACATAGTGCGCGAATAAATAAAACGGTTGTGTTTAAGCCGAGAGGTCTGGGAGCAGATGACCGGTCACGGCAGTCAGGCTGGCCGGCTTTTGTGGAATTTCTCCTCCTAAGGCAGCGGTTCTCAACCGGGGGGTCACGACCCTTTCACAGGGGTCGCCTAAGACCATCGGAAAACACATCTATAATTACATATTGTTTTTGTGATGAATCACGATGCTTTCATTATGTTCAATTTGTAACAATGACATTGGGGGTCACCACAACATGAGGAACTGTATGAAAGGGTCGCGGCCTTAGGAAGGTTGAGAACCACTGTCCTAAGGTGACACTGACCGAGAATTTTCACACGCTCCCGTGCGAGTCACTAAGAGAAGGCGGTGCCCGAAGGGGTCTGAGGAATCGTTTCCCACACCCCAAATCCCGGCGGAATAAATTTTGAGGGCTGCTGTGAAGGCGGGGGGTTCTCCACGGACCTAACTGAGCTGTCAATCACTTGGCTTTCCAATCGTCCCGTCCAGAGTGGGGCTTGGACGCCGTGGGCGCGGGTGCCCCTGGGGCTCTGTGTGCGATGAAACGATCCCAGGTGTGGGGGGCGAGGCCGGGGCTCTAGCAGCTGACGCTGAGCAGGCCGCCTCCCTGGGCCTCAGGGTCCCCACCTGTACCAGGAGGGTGATCTTCCGAGGGCCTCTGCAGCGGGCGCCGCACCCTGCAATCCTATGATTTTGAACAACCGTGACTGTATGAGGACAGGCAATGCAGCTGCTACAACAAACAGACCGAATGCCAGGCTGTAAGATCCACGAGGCAGACACACGCGTGGGATCCCTCACCTCTGTCCGCTTGGAGCCCTCCTCTCCTCTCCATGTCCTTTCGACGCGTGTCCACTCACTCCGCACCTTCCCTGGGGCTATTTGGCTCCGTCCCAGGTCCTCCTCCTACATTGCACGTGAGCCCCTGGGCTCCGGGAGGGGCTGTGTGACCAGTCCTCTGATAGAGGGATGCACACCCCCTCCAGGCCTGGCCCCTCCCTAAACGCCCCATATAATCCTCCACAGCCCAGATCCAGTGGAGGACCCCGAGGGAGCCCCGAGGGAGGGCAGATACACAGAAGGAAAGGATTGGGGATCCGTGAGTCACTGTGTGGAGGCCACGGCCGGAGCACCCAATGACAAGAGTGACAAGTCTTTATTGCCATAAGCCGCTGCGAACGGGGGACTGTTTGTTACAGCAGCTAGCATTGCCTGTCCTAACACATTCACCAAACTGTTACATGTAGCACCCTGTCTACTTGATAATTCCAGGACATCGGCTAGAGACCAGTCCTGCAATTTGCAACCACACACTAAGCTCATGATAGGAGCTTCTTCATGTGGTTCATCCTACCTGCTTCCAAAAACCCAACAGCACAGCTTCACCTCCCCAAAGACTAGACGAGTAAAGAAAGGAAGGACCCACAAAGGCAGAGGAGAGCCTATACCGACGCTCCTGAGGACAATCTACAAGCAAATGAGTTAAAAAAAATACAATTAAATTTAGAAATCTCAGCTGTGTGCTTCCTGGTAGGCAAAGCAAAAAGGGAAATATGGGGGGGTGGGGCACTGAGCTCTCACCAACAGTGGAAAACATCACCTTGGTTCACAACGAGAAGCACATGTTGTCCTTGCCGAGAGCTCCAAGGGAATGCTCCTGGGGTCACTGTGTGAGGGAGGTGGTGTGTGGGCAGGAGGCCGTGTCTGGGCAGGAGGCGGCCAACCGTGCCCCGAACGCGGTCCCCTCCGCGACTCAGGGCCAGCTTTGCAGCCCTGCCTGCGCCCCGACCGGCTCTCGATGGCGAGATCCTCCGAGTAATTCCTCATCCTCGTTAATGTCAACACGGCAGCACCATGATAATGACGGGAAATATTTGCATACCATACCGCTGACGGGTTGTTTAGACCATCTGGCGACTAGACGCGGGGAGGACTGTCAAACACATGGCCCGTCCACAAACCCTGTGCCTCGGAGCCGGTGGGGGCGGGCTCGGGGACGCGGGCAGCGCGCTCGGCCCGTCCCTGTCACACTCTGGACCACGGGGACCCCCGAGAGGCATCGGCTGCCCC